TCTCTCTCTCTCTCTCTCTCTCTCTCTCTCTCTCTCTAAAGATTCTCGATTTCACTGGCACCTTGCAGTGAATTAGGCGCGAAGCGGTGAAAGTCGCCAGCTCAACTGCTGGCATGCCTCCAAAGCCGGTTCTCTGGATTAACGAAATTCCCACTGTCCCTATCCATCATCCATCCTGCTAAACCACAGCCTTCGAAAGGATCGGGCATTCGAAATGATCGGGGTGATAAGAGCATCCCCACTTTGACCTTTGAAGCAGGCCCACTTAACGGGGTGATAAGGGGGGATGCTCTTATCGCCCCGATCATTTCGCCGCCGCCGATCCTTTCGAAGCCCGTTCCCACAGTTGCTATGGCTTTCGAAGCAGGCCCACTTAACGGGGTGATAAAGGGGGATGCTCTTATCACCCCGTTAAGTGGGCCTGCTTCGAAAGCCATCACAACTGCGGAAAGGGGCTTCGAAAGGATCGGCGGCGAAGGAAGACCCTGCTGACCTTTGACTCCAGTTCACTTGAGAGGTGATAAAACACTCGAAAGAAGAAAAAGAAAGTGTACTTTCTAGTGTAGAGTTTCTAGTGTAGAGATAGGCTTCATAGATATTAGAAGAACACGAAGAGCAAAGGCAGCTTTGTGGATTGCTACTGACCCTGAGGTGTGTGCCCAGCTACATAAAGAGAAGAGTCCCAACAAAGGCCCTTAATTGCTCATTCAACCAGAACTCCGCGTTAGGCTTATTGCTCTCCCCCCCACCCTCATGCCCCATTTTACGGCCCGCTGGACACCCCCCATCCGGCCCTTCCCCTTCCCCTTTCCTCTTCCCCCTCACCTTACTGACTGCACTATTTTCCGCCCTATCGGGATTCCACCCCGTTAGCGAAGGCGTCTACGAGGCAGGAATACTCTTTCAGCTTTGTGTATAAAGTTACCATTTTCATCACCGTGATCGACACTACCAACCATCGTCGGCGCGCATCTCACTGCCATCGCCATCGTCATCGCCGTCTTCATGGCCAGCATCGGGGTCATTAGTCCTAGGAGACGCGGCCCTCCCTCGGTACATCATCTCCCCTAAAATACCATTTGTGTTCCAATATCCGCCGCCTTTCATCTTTACAAGCCGTCGGCCTCAGCGAAGCCATCCGAGTGGGGAAGGAGGGGAAAAAATCCAAAAACGGCTTCTCCGCGTTCAGTAAACGGGACGTTTCTTCCCTCTGATCTTCCTTTCTCTTCTTGTTCTCTTTCTCTTCCCTGTTCCGCCTTTCCCCCGAAACTCTCTCTCTCTCTCTCTCTCTCTCTCTCTCTCTCTCTCTCTCTCTCTCTCTCTCTCTCTCTCTCTCTCTCTCTCTCTNNGTGTGTGTGTGTGTGTGTTTGTGCGTGTGAGACACACTTCTGAAAGGGTGGGAGAGAAGATATCAACAATTTCGCATGGCAGGGGGGGACCAAATGAAAGGAGCAGAAGGAGAAAAACAGAGAGGAGCATCGGAGCTTACCCTGAAGAACCCGCCCGACATTTTTGTGAACAAAGCGAAGCTGACTGCTTGGCTCGAAAGCGAGAACAACCCAGCTCTCCCTCGGCTGGACGCGCCGAAGAGGCAAAACTATCAGATCTTTCCAAAAATACACCGAGATGGGCGAGGCGAAGGATGAGTAACAGGGGGAACGACTGCGCGAATCCAAAGACAAGCGATAGAAAAAGACCCCGGCTGACGAATCACTCTGCCCTCTGCCTTGCTTCTTCCTTTTCCTCCGGACTCGAGCCGGCGATCATCCGACGGAAAACGCGGCCACGCCCCGCTCTGCCACGACAAATAGATATGTGTGTTGATGTAACGACCGTCCACGTGTTGATGTACTCGATCTTCCACGTGTCGTTGTATAGCTCTTCCACGATATTACCTGACCTCACCGGACGATCATACACAGCGATATCGTTCTCCCGTGTCTAACCTCTTCTCCTCCCTGCTCTTAGCGCCGCTCCCAACCACATTTCTTGACCTTTTCACTTGCTTCTGCCCTCTGAGCACTGTCCTCTGTCTCGCCCCTCTCTACCCCTTCTCTTCCCTCCTTCCCTGGCACCACTTCACCCCTCCACCATCCCCCCTTTCGTCTTCCCAGTCCCTTCTTTTCCCTCGACCTTGCTTCCACTGTCTTCCCTCACCTGTCCGTTTACTATGCACCTCCTTTCCCCTGCCCCTCCCACTGCTATACCAGCCAACAGCTTCCTCCGTGAGATACTCCCTCCTCGTCGTTGCTCCCTCACTCGTCAGACAAGTCAGAATGAACTGCAGAATAGAAAGCACCCGCCTTCCGCAGCAAACCGTCGAAAGACTTGCGCATATCGGCACTGTCCATGCCCTTCTGTCGCTATACTCATGTTCCCCTTGCCTGGCAAAACCCTAACATCAATTCTCAGGACAAGATCTGATCGTGCTAGCAAGAAGACATTTTGTTTTATATATGGCAAACATGATGGACGAGCATGTCGGCTACACGCTGGCAACCATCAAGAACGGGCCATCCAAGCAAGCGGCCTATCGCAGCGAATCCAGTCCAGCTCAATCAATCAATCAAGACTGGCCACTTTTCGACCCCCCCGATCAGTCGACCATTCTCTTCGTCACCGTCCGGTACGAAACATCCCCTTCCAGCAATTTGGGGGGGTTGTTTCGCTTTCGCTCGGTGTTTCGTTCCGCAGCCCCAAGCCCGGACCTAATGCCCTCGTTCGGCGGGAAAAGAACGTGAATTTTTTTTTTTCGTGAATATTTGTTTTTCAAGTTTTAGGTGCCGGGACATTCTGGCAAATAGTTTAGTTGGAAATTTCGATGGTGCTCCAGCAGTTTAGTTTTGTTGCCGGACACCGAGGCTCGCCCTGTATTCCAACCAAACCTGGTTGGGGGACCACATTCAATTTGCACCCTTGTGCCGTCTTTTCCCAGCCTGGTTGGGGCCTACCGGTTACCAACTGGGAATTCTTTTTTTTTTTTTTTTTTTTTCCACAAGAGGAAACTCGGCTCATTTGATTGCTCACGAAAGAGGGGAGACCGGGAATCCCTCCAACAAAAAAAAACAACCCGGAAAAAGAACCAAAATACTGGGACCATTACCCAGCTTAGGTGCAGGCGTTGGGGATTCTAGTCCAGCAACAGTATGGCCAGATCCAGACCCCTGTCCTGACATTCCATAGAAGGCTTAGGCCTACCCGCACCATTGGTCGCCGTTTCTTCGGCAGCTTAGCCTCCGCTGTACTTAGGGCGGGCCTTTGTCAGTTTGGCAGGTTTAACAGAAGGAATGACTGCAGCAACTTACCCCAGTGAAGAGGTCAAATCCATATTGGAGGTCACCAGTGTTTCTGCATCTGGACTTGTAAGAAGACCCGGTTCATTTGATTCTGCAGAAAGATAACGATAAGACTGGGATCGGGCCTCTGGAAGTGACCCTTGGCTCTTGAATAACTACTTGGCCCATGGTGGCCCCTCTTTCCGCAGCGGTACATTGAGACCGGACCCGGCATAGGGGAGGCCTACATCGGGCCGTATCCAACCCGCAGGGACTGCGCTGAAATTCGGCGTAGGATGCTGGCACTTCTGGGCAATATTGTGGATTTACTATTTCTAGGCTGCTTGCCCAAAACGGAAGTGTCCTTTTGTCTTTAGCCTGCTCTTCGTTTGCGATTGCGGCGCCGCTCCGTTCTCCGTACCTGCAACGCGCCACTATCAGCACGAGTTAGTCGTTTCACCATACGGTAACTCCGAATTCTACCTCGAAAAGGCAAGCTTACCTTTCGTGGCAATTTTTCACCTCCATAGCCTTGCTGCTCAGGTAAGAGTCGTTATCTTTTCACCCTTCCTTTCCTCGGAACCACCTTTTGCCCCTGTAAAAGTTTGAAGCATATGACCTTTGTAATACTGCAACTCACGGACCAAAAACCTTCGACTTTATTCTGCTTTCAGGCCGCAGTTTTCTTACGATGAGACAAGAACTCTTTCCAACTTTGAGCGGTGCTACAACGGCAAACAGGAACCCTACCTCCTAGACGTGCAAAACTCACCCGAATCCGCCTCCGCAGGCTCTCCATAGCCTAACCTTTGGAGAAGCAACGGCACCGTGTTGCAGCACTACTGCGTAGAACCGCACACTACGAACTACCCATTACCTTTAGGTTGCACTATGAACTCACCTTTGGAATCACTCTTATACCTGAAGTGAACTCTCCACTATTGTAAACTCCTTCATGGAAGAGGACAGAAATAACAACCGCTCCCCTCAACCAGGTCAAGAGTATGTCACTATGAGAAACAAACACTCGCAAGTAAAACTCCATGGCGCTCACCGCAACCAAGACCGGAGGAACCACTATAAGACAGTAACTGAAGGAGCGAGACATGTAACCTCCTAATCACTTTGGACCTTTTTTGGACTGCTATCACTCTTGTCTTTGTTAAAACCTTCTAAACCAATATTAAGAAATATAGTAGACTTCATATCTCGATCTTTTCTAGAGGTTTTAACCTACTACCTAACCCTCGTCTACTATGGTAATTTTGCTTTTATCGCCTCAGAACTTCTTCAACTACTCTTCAAAGTTATTATAGACAAAATCAGATTTCATAAATTTTATTTTGCCTATGCACAAACAGGATCGTCTTTTTACTTAGCTAGTATCTCTATAAACTCAACAAGGAACTCTGATAAATTAGCTTAGTATTGCTTATACTTAGGAACCGTAAAACCGAAGCTCTCTATTTAAGAAGTTTTCTCTGAACTACTGCGTGCTCGGTAAGTGATACCTTACTAATTTGTGTTGGGATTCAGTAAGGCCTTCATGAGCTTTTGAGTGACCACCGATTCTCCTTTCACCCTATCTAGCATACACTTGGTTACTTATACGATATTACACTGCCACAATGTCTGCATTGCCCATCTAAAGATCCTTGGTTTTCTGCAAGCGCTACAGTTTTGATCGATTCATGGAAACCTAATATTAGCAATAGAACCACTATACGAGAACTCTTATAGCAAAGGGTTTTATGCTTTCTCTTAATCAATGCGTGCCCAGTAAGTAATACCTTACTAGTTTGTGTTTGGATTCAGTAGCGTCTCCACGGGCTTTTGAGCGACCACCGTTTCCTCTCGCCCTATCTAGCATACACTCGGTTACTCATACGATATCACACTGACGCAATGTTTGCAATGCCTGTCTAAAGATCCTTGTTTTTTTGTAAGCACTACAATTTTGATCGATTCACAGAAACTTAGCATTAGCAATAGAACGACTATACAGGAACCCTTATAACGAAAGGCTTTGTGAACCGACGATATCAGAAATGATGAGAGCATGATTAACAATCATACCACTACAACTTCTCAAGAGTTACACGAATCCTGTAGTTTAAAAGATCGGGAAACATGTATGAATCATGATCTGTATTTCTTTGAAATCTTTCTCAAAAAAACTGTGTGCTCAGTAAGCGATACCTTACTAGGAACCGCAAATCAAAAGTTATTGTTTTCAGCAAGTTGGATTATTGGTGTTTTGGATTCAGTAAAGTCTTCACTTACCCTAACTTGGAAGCGATCATCAGTTCTACGATATCACACTGCCGCAATATCTGAATTGTCTGTCTAAAGATCTTTGTTTTTTTTACAAGCACTACAGTTTTTGATCGATTCACTGAAACCTAGCATTAGCAATAAAACCACTATACAAGAACTTTTATAGCAAAGGGTTTTGTGAACCGTCGATATCAGAAAGCTTTCTCTGAACCACTGCGTGCCCAGTAAGTAATACCTTACAAGTTTGTGTTGGGATTCGGTAGCGTCTTCATGAGCTTTTGAGCGACCACCGATTCTCCTCTTGCCCTATTATAGCATACACTCGGTTACTCATACGATATCACTCTGACGCAATGTTTGCATTGCCTATCTAAAGATCCTTGGTTTTCTGCAAATACTACAGTTTTGATCGATTCATGGAAACCCAGCATTAGAAATAAAACCACTACTCTGGAACCCTTATAACGAAGGGCTTTGTGAGCTTACGATATCAGAAACGATGGGAGCATGATTAGCAATCATACCACTACAGCTTCTCAAGAGTTACACGAATCATGTAGTTTAAAAGATCGGGAAACATGTAGGAATCATGGTCTGTATTTCTTCGAAATCTTTCTTAGAAAAACTGTGTATTCAGTAAGCGATACCTTACTAGGAACCACAGATCAGCAGTTATCGTTTTCAGCAAGTTAGATTATTGGTGTTTTAGATTCAGTAAAGTCTTCATTGGCTCTAACTTGGAAGCGATCATCGATTCTACTCTCTGACGTACACCCGGTTAGTCATACGATATCACACTGTCTTTCTAAAGATCCTTGGTTTTCTGCAAGCACTACAGTTCGATCGATTAGCAGCAACCTAGCATTAGCGATAAAACTGCTATACGAGAACTCTTATAACAAAAGGCTTTGTGAACCAACGATATCAGGAATGATGAGAGCATGAATAGCAATCATACCACTACAGTTTCTCAGTAGTCATGTAATTTAAAAAAGAATCGGAAAATATATATCAGTAGTGATCAGTTTCGGTAAGTTAGATTATTTGGGTTTAGATTCAGTAAGGTCTTCACCATCTTTAACCTTGAGAGATCACCGGTTTTCCTCTCTAGAGTTCACTCGGTTACTCATACGATATCGCACTGTCATAGTCTATATTGCGTATCTAAAGGTCCTCGATTTCTTGCATAAGCACTACAGTTCTGGTCGATCCGCAGCAACCTCGCATTAACAATAGAACCACTATACGATAACTCTTATAACAAAAGACTTTGTGAAAAAAAAAAATCAGAAATTGTGAGAGCATGCATAGTAATCATACCGCTACAACTTCTTAGAAGTTACATGAATCCTGTAGTTTATAGCTTCGGGAAAACTTATGCGGGACTCATAACTGAATCTTTTCTGAATCTTTATCAGGAAAACTAAGTGCTCAGTAAAGATACCTTACTAGGAACCACAGATAAGCAACTACCGTTTCATCAAGTTAGACTATCTTGTTTTTGGATTCAGTAAGGCATTCACTGACTTTAATCTTGAGCGATCATTCGATTTTCCTATCAACCTATCTAGCATACACTTGGTTACGCATACAATATCACACTGACGCAATGTCTGTATTGACTATCTAAAGACCCTGAATTTTCTATACAAGCACTGTAATATGGTCGATTCGCAGCAACCTAGCATTAGCGATAAAACTGGTATACGAGAACCCATTTCTCTATGACAGAAAGGTTTTGTAAACCAGCGACATCAGAATTGGTGAAGAGCATGAAGACCAATCTTACCACTACAACTTCTCGGATGTTACATGATCGAGAGGCATTTACTGCATATGAAAGAGTTCGCCTTAATGACTTAGTAGTGTAAGGTTTATTACTGTAAAACCAAAAACTCCCTGACTAACTGCAGCTAGGCTTTTGTAGCGCCTTTTCAGAACTAACCACGCAGAACCAAATCAACTTTTACCAATTCTGACCTAAAAGTCAAAAGTCTCTCACGACTACCTAATAGCTTCTCTGTACAAATTACAGTCTGCAA